AACCTGAACCAATAGGGGGGCAATTAATGATCACATTCCCTGCCCTAATTTGGCTAACACTGAGCTTCTCCATCAACTCTTCTCACAGATGCAGTCAGTTTGATTCCTTTATCTGGTGAGGTCCACATGGAGATTCGCCATTTATATTGCTGGAAAAAAGGACATTTTTCAATAAAGAAGTCATTAGTCTTACAAAATTTTCTCATTCAATCTTCAGCTTCATTTCTATCACCAAGGCCTTATTTCCCAACTACTGATACTTTTTCTGTTTCCAACTTTCCAACTGCAATCACCAATAATTATCAAAGCACATTGATTTTAGGTGTGATCAACTTCAGACTAAACAACTCTGGTAGAATTCTTAAATTTCTCCATCACCAACTTCAGGTGTTGGAATCTAAATCATATTTGAATTAACAGGTGTACTTGTAGTTATTAGATATTAACTATCACATTGTACTTCAAGATATATCTTTAAATGTTCTTTTTGATGATGAATTAATGTGATGCCATTCCTCATGAAATTGTCATTCCCGGCATGGTAAACCACATGGTTATCCAATTTAGTCCAATATCGTGTATTTTGGCTTCACTAATACATAGGATGATTTTTATGCATCTCATTTCTGAAGGCTTATAATTTCCATGTTGAGATTGTTAATGGACATCTGCAGCTTTCCCCCTCTCGAGGTGAGTTGTGTCTCATCAGTAAGGTTTACTCTGCTTTGAGGAGACAGCTCTTCCTCAGTAGTATTTTGAGCGCCTCCCAGAGGGAGTTAATCTTCTATAGTTCGTCTCTCGTCAATTTCCCCCTGCTGTCTTTATGGGTTTCATTTTTCACAAGCGGATTCTGTCTTCCTTGTGTCCAGTCTGCTGAGTGTAAACCTCTCAGACACTGCTGGAGCACAACACTCTGCTCGTGCCTTCAACCCACAAAGGTCTGCAGCAGTGCTGTTCAGTGCCAGAGTCGGTTCTGGCTCAGACACTCAGTGTACAACAGACCAAACGATTTGATGTTGGCTGCATTAACCTGCCTATTGTTAAGTCTAAAGAAAGTTAAGGTTCACTGTTGTTATTTATAAGTGGGACAGTAATTAAGAGTTCAGCTGCTAATCAATGGTTGTACCCCACCAGCTGTTGAAAAAATGTTTGCTTCCACAAAGCCTTAGAAAAAATATGGGGCAGTTCCCTTTTGTCCTTTGGACTGCTCTGAGTCAGAACTGACTCCACTGAATGGGCAGGCGGAATTATTACAAGTTGAAGGAGCTTTGCAGGTGTTGTGGTGAAGCACTTGGCTGCTAACCAAAAAGTCAATGGCTCCAATTCACCAGCAGCTTCAAAACAGAAGATGAGGCTGTCTGCTCCTGTATAAGATGCACAGTCCTGGGAACTCAGAGAGGACTGCTATGAGTTGGCATCAGCATGGCCCTGGTTGGAGCTTTTGGTGATGCAAACACTTGACTGCTAACCAAAAGGTTGGCAGTTTAAATTCCCCATAGGATATCCAGGGCTGGCTGGTGGGTTAGAACTGCTGGCCTTGAAATGAACTAACAGTTGAGCATTTTAGTCACTGCATCACAAGGCTTTCTTCCATAAAACGTACCTCCTATGAAGCCGATGTCATGGGTCAGTTCGACTGTGGGCTGCCAGGCGCCAACCTGAGTTAATGGAAGCTAAGTTTGCGGTGTTGGATCATTATGTTCTTCTACATACCGAACCTTAGTAGTCTTCTATCTCCAGACGTAAATGGCAATCATAAGAAGACACCATTAGGTCTAGAAACTGCACTTTATTCACTAGATGCAGAAAAAGACTACCCTAGACAAATAATCAACTTAAGTTCAAATGTTATATTTTAATATTAAAAAGTATGCATACCCTTTCATGATAGTACTTGTGCTAATATCTACCAATGGAGGAAATGTTACAGAAGCTGTGACAAATTCAGGAATGTTTTTAAAGTTTGTATTTTAAAACTAAATACATTTTTTTTCTTTTCGGTGTGATATTAGTTGAGTGATGATATGCGTATTTTAAATTTCTCTTTTAGTAATACATACTAAAATATATACATGATCAAATGATAAAATGTCCAAAATTTGCTTTAAAATAGTACTGGATAGAGCAAGGAAAAAGGCAGGTGTGAAGATTCCACCACTGCATAATTTTTGAAGATATATGACAAACATAAGAGGATCATTATCTACTATATATACTTCAATGTATGAAGTGTTCCATGATGATGTCAATGCGGTATTTTCTCTTTGGCATGCAATCACACAACGAGTACACATGTACTCCAGATAGTGTTTACTTGGCCTATAGAAAGTGCTTGGTGCACAAGCAATTCACAAATCCCTCGAAGAAATTAGAGGTTTATTATACCTCCTGTAGTTCATGTCCGCCGGGTGAAATTCACCAGCCCAAGTCATGTTTTTTGAATTTGGCTAGTAGATGGGCTCAAAATGAAACTAGCAACAGGATTTATTTGTTTCTATAAATGTGTACCATCACTGAAAGGAAGTATGAGTATCAGATTAGCAATTATTTGTTTATTCTATTTAGTTCAAATCAAAGCCAACAAGTTTTGAATGATCACACCTGTCTTTCAAACCTGGCTAGAATCCATCCAGAAATGTATACTCCTGGGCTGCTAACTGCACGCTGGGCATTGGAGACTACTGTGGGAGACACTACTGCCGTAAAGAGTCAGGGTCTCGGAAAGCTGCAGGGGCAGTTCCACTCTGTCCTATATGTTCACCATAGTTGGATTCGAATGAGGCTTGCTTTCTTCTTTTGTTTTTGGTTAACAGTAAGTAAACAGATTTCTACATCCAGGTGATTATATATATTATAATCATATTGATTAATTATATATGTCTGGCAGAGTGAATGATATGCACAGTCGCTCACTGCCTTCCAAAAAGTACTGCTCTTGTTCAAGCCTTCACTCTTCACACACTGCTAATGCATTTGTCCACTTTCTGATGTAAGCAAAGGAATGCCTGCCAAATGGGTTTTCACTGATAAAAGATGGTAATACATAGCTACTGACACAGCGGCATCGAAATCCTGTTTACTTGGACGTATGTTACCAAGAGGATATTCCCGACACAAGTGATTTTCTGACAAAATGCCTAACTTGAACTTAATTTTTGTTTTACCTCTTCTAGAATAATTTACAGAAGCAAAATTATTTAATCAGTTTCAGTTTCAGCATTTTCCTATTCTGTATACAAAGCAAGATCCTGGAGCGTTTATTGAACAATATTATAGAAAAAGTGTTACATGCTCTAAAAGTAGTGATTGAATGAATCTATCGGTTTTTTTGGATCAGCAGGTTGAAGTCGTGATTTAATCAACCATGTATAAATTAATCAAAGCCTAGTGAGGTCTACTGTTCAAATTAGAAGACAAGATAACATTCCGTTAACCACATGAGAGAATTTAGGGTTACTTGAATGAACAAACATTCCGGGAACAGAATATGTTCTTAACAAAGTTGACACAGTCCATGAAAGTTTGAGTGAAAGCACTACTCAAATCCTTTCTGATGAGAGCTCAGGAAACACAAGGAATTCTTAATTTTGTTTAGAGGGAGAGTAGTGAACTTCACCTCATCAAAGCACACACGAATTACTGGGATACAGAGAAGAGAGAGAGAGAAAACCACCTCTCTATTCTTTGTGCTTTTTTCTACCACCAGGGATACGCCTATGGTAACCCAGCAGGAAAGCATCCTTTATGACCTTAAAATAATCCCTTATATCCTGTAGTCCTAGAGAATCTTGCTTGGAAGGTTAACACCTCATACCAGCCCTTTCCCCTTCAAAAAACCCCCAAAACTTAAAGCTGCACATTTTCCCCTACAAACCCGACACTGCCTGATTCAAAGAAAATATAAACAAAAAACTGTCCCCCAACCCCCCAAAACAAACGTTTCCTAGGTTGTCTACCGTAATACCAATGAAATCTAACTGATACCAGAACCCATTCTCAATATTGCGTACAGATCCTTGGGTAATTTCAACGTGTGGTAAAGTTTGGGAACTCCTGCCTTCCGTGCCCAAGCCCACTAGTAACTGACTCAGATTGTAATACTGCCTAAGAACCAACTAGAAAAAAATCTAAACGTCTTCTTGGCTGTATTACACTAACCATGTAGGTTAGACAAAAAGACTGAATGGAAGGGTATTTTAAAAATACTTCCACATTACATTTTATTATAAAACAAGAGGAGGGATACATTTTACTAAACATTTTGCCAGATTTTACGCATCCTCCCAATTTAATCCCGCCTTAATCCTGCGAGGCAGTGTCATGCACATTTCACACAAGTGGAGCAGCAGGGGATCAGTGGAAACAAGTAGCTTTGATTCCAGTTCCTCTGCCTGCAGAAGAAGTCAGGGCTTGTTGTTTTCCATGACACTGTAACTCCAGGGGAAAAGAGAGCGTGATTCCACTAAAGAGCTAACTTTTTTTCTGGAGGAAATAAAAATGTCATGAAAAAATAAATTTAAAAGTGAATAAAAAATTAAAAAGGGAAATATGGCCCTATCACATTTGTACACGGCACATGAACCCTTATAAAGCGGGGAAACATGATCTCTAGGTTGACTCCTAGGAAAAAGATACTTGTTCTAACATCAATTAAGTGAATGCTAAAAATCAAGAGCTTTTAGGTTAGAAAATCTTTTGAAAGTACTGCCTGTGGAGAAAACAACTGATTTATGAGATGGTATTTATTGTAAACCAAAAATTCTCAGTCAATGCAGTGACCTGTAATTTAGAAATAATAGTTACATTTCAAAATAAAGAGCTTTTTCAGAAGAGTATCAGTGCTCACCATTTCCCACTCCATTTATATGAAAAGTTAATGCTTACTGAGTTGTACATGACTCACCATGGGGATAACTAAACACCCATACACAGTTAGAAATAAGGTATGCACCCTCCAGTCTATAAACATAGCATCGTGAGAAACATACCCTCCTACTTACCTTGGTTTTTCCCTCTTCTCTCTTTGTCTTTCAAAATCTCTTCCTCTGTCCTTCCCATCTCTTGGTCTTTCTTCTATCCTGTCTTTGACTTTATACTTCTCTCTGTACTTTTTCCCCAAAGCCACCTCTTCCTGTGTCGGAGGGGGGGGGCTAGGAGTGCGCGGTCCTTTCTTTTTGCTTTGGTTGCTTTTTGAAGTCCTGAAGGCAACAAAAAGCTATCATTCCAAGTCCCAAATACTTTTAGAAGGTCATGTGGATATACGGTTTTCACATTTTAACAAAGCAATTAAAAAAAAGACAGCAATTCTTTTAAGCAGTGCCCTTCACTACACTGTATGCTAGCAACAAACGCACAGACAACACAAGCAGAGAAGTATGCGAAGAATTAGTTTATTTGCCACATGTTTTGTTACCAAGATTTATTATAAAAATTTAAAAGTAGGTTTCTAAGAAAAGATAGGAGTGGACTATAAAGAGAAATTATCCTAAATTTAAATGAATAAACTACAGAACATTTCTCAGAAGTTAAAAGCATTGCTTATTAGCTTATAAATATACTTCCTGTAAGCAATACCAAAGAAAAAAACCAGTGATAATATAAATGAAGAGGTAAAAATAATTCCACTGCACACGTTGAACAATTGCTACTATCTTGGATATACTGTCAGATGATTTTCCGTGTCAAGCTATGTCACATGCACTCAGTGGCATGCACACACACACAAATATACTTGCAAAATGCTTTATACATATTTTTTATACTAAATATAGTATGAGCATTTCCTGTAACAAAAGGTAGACTTATATCATTAAAGAATTTTTTAAAATATATGCTCTGTAACTTCTTTAAACAATCTCATGCTTATACATTTTATAGGTGGCTTCATCGATTGCATAGTTATAAAAACACATTATTACATCATCCACAATATTGTTATACATATAACATATTATTTCATTATAAATGAAATCTCAAGTGTTGCTAAAAAATATTAACCTAAATCTTTGAGTTGTCTCTCAGAAACCATTCCTAATTCTAAGAGTACAGAAAAGGTACCCTAAAGTGTTGGATTTTGACATTCACATGAATCTATCTGAAACAGAATTTAAGTGTTAATCTACCTGAAAAGGGAGCCTCTCTTTATTTGGTATTTCAAATAATCTTATCAAAGTGACAGAACTTGACATTCTTCTCCATCAAAGCTGTCTATTTCTGCCTCAGATCTAAAGAATGACTGACTGGACATGGCATTCTGAAATCGTCAACTTCTTCCCTGAGTGTTCTGAAAACATTACTGTCTTACCTTGTAGCATTTAGTAACATAATAGAGGTGAAAACCACAAGGACAATGAGATTTTTCCCCATACTAGTTACCTGTTTTTCATCTTTTTAATTGCGAATTAAAAAAAACCCATTCATTAATTCTTCTGACTTCCGCTTCACTCACTTTAATATTGTGATTGCCCTCTAGTTAGTATTTTACCCTCCCTTCCCTACACAGCCCTGGTAACCGTCAAAGGTATGAAAACCCTTTTTATACTTTCTAGAATAGTGGTCTCGTATAGTAGTTGTCCTTGCGTGGTTGAGTTATTTCATTCAGCATGTCTTCCAGGCTTACGTGTTGGTAGTATTCCACTGAATGTGCATGTACCATAGTTTCTTTATCCATTCTACTAAGGGGCATTTAGATGTTTCCATCTTTCTGCTCCTGTGAAGAGTACTAGGGCGAGCAGGGCTCCATTCCTCTAGCTGGGAGATATGCCAACTAGAGGAATTGCTGGCAATCCACTTGATGACGGTGACAATCAGTATGGTATTTCCATTCTCAACCTTCTGAGGAAGCACATATATATGGCTTTCGATCGTGGCTGTACCACGATCTCTCCAGCAGTATATGGGGGTTCCAGTCTCCTGAAACCATTACTGTTTTTCCAAACCATGCCATTAATGTTGGGGTGAGGAGGTTCCTCACTGTTTTGATATGCTTCTAATGGGTAATGATCATGTGATGGATTTAATGGCTACCTGAATGTCTTTTAGGTGAATTGTCTGCTAGGGTACTCTTCCCACATTTAAATTTATTGTCTTTTTTCTCATTAGGTGATAAGGTTTTCTACAAATTTTAGAGATTAGTCCCATGTCCAGTATGTTGTTGATGTATTTATTATTTCTTTCTTCTTTTTTGATGTGCTTTATTACTATACACAGACCCCTGAGCACTCTTTTTGGTATGATGTGCTTCCATTTTCATTTGATTCTGAATTTTCTTTGGGGGCATTTACAAAAGATTACTCATTGGAAATCAGGAATTTGGGTGCTTTGAAGAATCTTTTCTATAGTGCAACAAATCATCAGAATCTGAAACTTCCAAGTTGTCTAATTTTAAAAAAATGATGTCTTCATGTAACCAATTTCTCTGGCTCTACCTATCTGCAGTTACTGAATCCTGAATATCTTTTATGCTTTCACGTCTTGTCATTTCCTTCTCTCTAGTACTTTCTACAACTCACGCTTGCCTTCAAATCCTTTAAGCAGTAACCACCTTACTACTTCTAAAGTTTGCTACCTCCTATTTCTGGTATTTTGGGTGTGAAAATCTTTTTCTTTGCAAGAGGCCTTATTATACAAAATGCCTTTTTACCCTCCAAGACCAACTGCTGTCATCATGTGAATTCAAAATCCTCCTAAGTTGTACTAAAATTATGAAGTTATTGTTTAAGGGGATTCCTATTTTCTGCATCAGCTGTTTCTCTGTAAGCCATATACCATGAGTTTTTAGTTTGGTATTCTGTTTTCATAGCTATCTATTTTCACACATCTGGAAAATGTTCATTGTCTACTTATTTCCCTTTCTATGCACTAAATCTTGCAGTTTACTTCCTGTGGACTTGAGTTCTCTTGTCATTATAATCTTTTCCCCAAATTTGTGGGCAAGATTACAAAAAGATAATAGTTATCAAGGGATGTATTAGTTATTAATAATCATAAGAAAAAAAATTAATGGATTAATGTATGATGAGACTAACCCTTCATTTGATATCTATTAAAACTTTCTATGAAAAATATAAATTTCAAAGTTTTGATGAATACATGAAAATTAAGAGAGTATGGTTCAGGACCCCAGTACTGTCTTTCACTGCGGGCTAGACCAGAGCATGTGCACAGGGACAGCTAAGAGATATGAGCCTACGACACACAGAATCCAGGAACAGGAGTAGTGATACCAGGAGGGTGGGGGAAGGTATAGAGAGGAGGGGAGAAAGGGTGAACTGATCACGATGATGGACCCACAACTATCCCCACCCCCCTTCCAGGGGGACAAACAACAGAAACCGCAGGGGAAGGAAGACAGCAGCTGGTGTAAGATATGAAAAGAACAATAATTTATAATTGATCAAGGGGTCATAAGGGTGGGGGTAGGGAAGGAAAAAAAGAAGAGCTTATACCAAGGGTTCAATGGAAAGTATAAATGTTTAGAAAATAATGATAGCAACATATATACAAATATGCTTGATACAATCGATATGTGGATTGTTAAAAGAGCTGTAAGGGCACCGAATAAAATGATCTTTGAAAAACAAAAAGAAAGAAAAATGCAGCATCAAGATTGAGAAAAGAAAAGTATGGTATATAGTTTATTAGGGAAATAGATGGAATTCAGGAAGAGTTATCACATCAGTCTACAGTTCACTTCCTTCCATCTTCCTTTGCGTTATTTACTAAATCTCGAGTAGAAATGAGAGGGCTGAGCCAACCTTATCACCACGCAAAGCTCTTTGCAGAGTAGGCCCTTGGGCACTAGCACAAAGAACCATCAAGACCTCATCTTCAAGGAACTGACATTTCATGTTGCTGCCAGGTGCCATCAGTCAGTTCCTGCTCAGTGACCCGGCGCACGCACGAGGGTCTTCCTCTTTCCACTGCCCTCTACTTTACCAAGAGCATGGCGGCCTTCTCAGGGACGGGTCTCTCCGGGCAACACAGCCAAAGTACTGAAGTCTCATCACCCTTACCTCTAAGGAACACTACAGCTGCGCCTCAACAACAGATTGCTTTGTTCTTCTGGCAGGCCACGATATTTTCAATACTCTTTTCCAGTGCCCTAATTCACACGTAATGCTTTTCCTTTGGTTTTCCATATTCAATGTCCAACTTTCACAAGTATATCGGGGGGGGGGGGGGGGATACATGGCGGGGTAAGGCACACCCCAGTCTTCAAAGTAACATCCTTGATTTTCAATGCTCTAAAGAGGTCCTGTCCAACTACGTGATCCAATGCAAGGCACTGCCGCTTCCCTGAACACCGACTGTAGATCCGAGCCAGAAAGCATCCTGGACAACTTTGATCTTTTTCTTTTCCCATGATGCAACCTACTGGTCCAGCTGTGAGAATTGTTTTTCGTTACAGTTGATATTTTTTACATTAAAATTTATAGGCACTGTAAAACATGTATGCCATTGCTAAAATATAATGCAAAGGGCAATTAACAGCAGGGCTCAGAACCAGTTTTTCCCAGTTCAGTCATAGCTGATAAAGCAAAACCAGAACAGACCCATGGGAAAAAACCCTGCTAGATGTACATCACTGTGTAAATCTCTGCAATTGTTGAAAGGAAGGATGTCACTTTGACAACTAATATATACACACTAGACCCAAGTCATGTTATTTTCAATAAACTTTTCAATCAACTCTCATGCATGTGAAAGTTGGACAATAAATAAAAAAGACTGCAGAATGTATTCATTTGAATATGGTGCTGGAGAAGAATACTGAACATACCCTGGGTGGTCAGAAGAACACACGTTTGTCTTAAAAGAAGTACAGTCAGAAAACTCCTTACCAGCAAGGATGACAAGACTTCATCTAAGTACCTTGGACATACTATTAGGGGAGATCCGTCCCAAGAGAAGGGCAGCATGGTGGATACAGTAGGGGTGGGCCAGCAAAAGGGGGAAGACCATGAACAACACGGCTTACCACAGTGGCTGCCACAAAGGGTCAAGCATAACAACTGTGAGGATGGTAAAGAATCTGGCATGCTTCCTTCTGTGACACAGGGTCGCCGTGAGTCAGCGCCAACGAGACCACACCAATCAACAGCAACTGCAATAAACCTCCCCCTTATGGAAAGGGGCAGCGTGCGCTCTACACAGTCACCACGTCTCTTGAACGCAGCATCAGAAACAGCTGTGACCCACTCAGACACAACAGTGGACCTTTCACGCCGAGCAGAGGCCACTCTCCACATTTCTGGCAATAAACCAATCTCCTGCATCAGGCTCCTAAAAGGGCGAACTACACCTCTTTCAAGTTTCCAGTTCTAAGCCCTCAACCAGTGATTTTTCCCATTCCGATTACCTTACCCAACTCAAAACAAAACTCACTGCCATCAAGTAAGTTCAACTCAGAGCAGCCCTGTGGGCTTGTGCGATGTAAATCGTTATAGGAGTGGAGGGCCGCATCGTTCTCATTCGGAGCAGCTGGCTTTGAACTGCTGGCAGCCCCATACGAAGCGAAGCCGTTACGCCACCAGGGCCCTAGCTACTGTCACAGCTCACCCAAATATAAAAACTCAGGTTTGTTTAGACTTTGCTTTGTCAGCCATGACTGAAAAGGTTCCAAATAAGTTCACAAAATGAATAGAAATTATGTTCAGTAAAAAGAAATGGAAAAACTCTGAAAAAGAATGAATTTAAGAGTTAGGCATGAAAAGATTGGAGTTGGAGGGATACTTAAGAAAAAACCATGCTCAAAGTATAAAATGCCATTTTAATTAATCAAAATTTCTATAGGCTGGAAAACCAATGAGTTTTCAATGACATTATAAATTAATCAAAATTGTATTTTTAAAAAATTCTGACAGCCATCTAGCTCAGAAGCAACGAAGCCCACATGGAAGAAGTACACCAGCCTGTGTGATCACGAGGTGTTAAAGGGATCAGGTACCAGGCATCAAAGAACAAAAAAATCATATGACTGTGAATGAGGATGGATGTGGACTGGGGACCCAAAGCCCATCTGTAGGCAACTGGACATCCCCTTGCAGAAGGGTCGTGGGGAGGAGACGAGCCAGTCAGGGTGTAATGTAGCAACGATGAAACATACAACTTTCCTCTAGTTCTTAAATGCTTCCTCTCCCCACATTATCATGATCCCAATTCTACCTTACAAATCTGGCTAGACCAGAGGATGTACACTGGTACAGATAGGTACTGGAAACACAGGGAATCCAGGACAGATGAACCCTTCAGGACCAGTGGTGAGAGTGGTGATACCGGGAGGATGGAGGGAAGGTGGGGTAAAAAGGGGGAACCGATTACAAGGATCTACATATAACCTGGGGTATGGACAACAGAAAAGTGGGTGAAGGGAGATGTCGGACAGTGTAAGATATGACAAAATAATAATTTATAAATTATCAAGGGTTCATGAGGGAGGGGGGGAGCAGGGATGGAGGCGGAAAATAAGGAGCTGATACCAAGGGCTCAAGTAGAAAGTAAATGTTTTGAGAATGATGATGGCAACAAATGTACAAATGTTCTTGACACAATGGATGTATGTAAGGATTGTGATAAGAGTTGTATGAGACCCTACTAAAAATGCTTTAAAAAAATTCTACTGACAGCAATAATCTGTAAAAAGTATGAAACTGAGTAAATGCATGAACAGTTTATGTGGGAGTGGGTGGGGAGGACAGGATAATAACCTAATCAAAAGTAAAAGGATCAGAAACAGGTTAAGAGTCACTAGACACTAGAAGAAAGAGACAAATGCATTTTATTCTGGGATCAGATAGGTGCCAATGGTCAGCTGTTGGAGAGGAGGGCTATTCAGACTTTTGTTGTTTTGCTTTCGATGACCAGGGGCATAGCTTCCAGCATCTCAGGAATATACAAGCTACCATAACACAACAATGTGACCAAATGAACAGTAGTGGGACCTTGTCTGATTCAGCATCAAGAGGCCTGTAGGTTGCTCAGAAACAAAATAAAAGTGGAAAAGAGCTGCCTCCTCAAGTAGCGCCACCTTCACGGAAGGGCACAGAGTACTGTTCTCGAGACACTCGCTTGCTGACGTGCCAAGACGCAAACAAGAGAAAGAACTACAAGCACTCCTTAATAATCAAGACATGGAATGCACAAAGCTTGAATGTGGGAAAATTGAAACATTTCAACGTGAAATGGAGCATATAAAGATTGATAGCCCAGGCATTAGTGAGCTGAAATGGATCGGTACTGTCCTTTGTGAATAGGACTGTGATCGTTTGAAGAGGACTCAGTATCTCATTCATCATTAAAAAGAGTATCTCACAATCTTTATTGAACAATGCCATCAGTGACAGGATATATCCATATGTCTACAAGGAAGATAAGTTCATATGACTATTATTAAAATTTATGCACCAACCACTAATGGCAAGCATGAAGAATCTGAAGATTTTTAGTAACTTCTGGCATCTGAAGTTGATCAAACAGGCAATCAAGGTGCACCAGCAATTACTGGTGACGAGACTTGAAGTGTTGAAAACAAAGGCGTCTCAGGAGTTGGAAACAGGTTTCGGTGCGAGGAAAAGCAGCACAGATGACATATTTATCCACCACACACAGGCTGAGAAGCTGCTCCATGTGAGGAAGGAGGAGGCCTCAGAACTGGAGGAAGCATCATTAACAAGCTGTTAGATGACAAAGACCGTGACTGCACAGAGGACTGGAAGCACTCAGCGTCGAAGATCACGTAAAAGGGAAAGCTCGGCTATCACCCTCAATTCTCTTCAATCAGTCATGTCTATTGTGCAGTACACAGGAAAATGTAGTCATGAAACATGCGTTAAAAGATCCCTTGATCATGAGCACAATAAGAATATTCATTGCAGCATCATTTGTGATAGAAACTGGAAGCACCCTAAACACTCAACAAAGGGAAAGGTGATAACGAAATAGTATAAAATGCAAAACAGAATGAACTACGGCTACCTATATTAATATAAACAAACAAAAATGTTAAGTGAAAAAAGCTGGAGAAGTAAAGTTATCAAATATTAGTATTATTAATAGATGAAAACAATATTAGATTGTAAAACACATACATTAAAATATAAACATATAAGCAAAAGAATAAAGAAGACCAAATTCAAGAGGCAAAAACCAGAAAATCCAGCTGTTGTTTCATTTCTTTAAATATTAGATCATAAGTGTGTGCCGATGTGATAAAAGGTTTCGTTTTTCATCATTTCAGCTTAATTGCAACATGAGAAATAACTTACACTAAATACTAAATTCGTTAGAAGTACCCTCCCTATGATCTAGTAAGTAATTCTTTTGACTATCAGTGCATGAAAGCTGTTTAATTCTGCCATAATCTATGCCTGCACTGACCTCTGCTGCTCCAGTAAGGGAGAGGGCACTGCAGCTGTCTTCCTGTCCTTCTTGCTGCTCGAAGACGACTTGGGGCTTGACCTTCGCTTTGGAGATTTACTAGCCTTTCTTAGAGAAGGTGATGGAGACAATTTAGATCTAACCACGTCTGGCGAAACCTTTTCGGGGGAAAACAAAAATCAGTAAATCATTTCAGAAACTCCTCCAAACAAGTATGCTATACATAGACATGAAAATATATATTTTCAACGCACATTAAACTTCAGATTAAAAATTAAATACTTTGATAGCCATCACGAATTTGTTACTTTGACTCCAGAACCCGTGTTTAATCAATCTGTGACTTAACTGCCCTTATAGAATGCTAATGCCAAAGGCAACAACAATCAAATTTCATTCTCTTCTGAGAAAAAAAAATCACAAACTATATTCTGATAAATTCTAGAGTTCCACTCTTCTAAGAGAAATAGGGTATTTTCTAAAGGACGTGGACCTAAAAGCAATTACATTCAAATCCTATTTACATTAGCTAGACTTAGGTAACAGTCTCAGTTTTGCTCACTTATTCAACAACAAAACTTCACAGAGGTACCCCGAAAAAACTGATGTTCATTTGTGTTTTGATGTGAGGGGGATAGTGCATTTGGAGCTCTTTCCACCAGGTCACACTGTTAATTAGCTTTCTATTTAGAGATTCTGAAAAGAGTGCATAACAGCGTGCAATAAAAAAGGCCTGACTTGTGGCAGACGGCAAACTGGCTTTGCCACAACAACACACCTGCTCACACAGCCATCTCGGTGCACCAGTTTTTGCAAAAAAAACAGCATACTCTCTTGCCCTACGCACCTTGCTTACCTGACCGTGTTCCATGTGACTTTTTGTTTCTGCAAATGAGGAGGGACATGAAAGGACAGCAATCTGACAACTTGAGGGGTGAAGAAAAAAATGAGAGGTACTGTCAGCTATCCAGACAGATGTTTCCAAGAATGGAATCACAGATTTGATGAATGTATTAAGTGTAATGGAAAATGCTTTGAAGGGGATACTTTTTTAATCTTTCCTGATTTAAAAAAAATAGTAAATCATTTTATTGGGGGTTCTTCCATATATTATAACCATCTATACATCCATTATAATAAGCGGACATGTACAAACGTTGGCATTAACAATTTTAAAACATTATCTTTCTTCTTGAGCCCTTTGATATCAGTTCCTCTTTATTCCCTCACTCCCCCACACTACCAACCCCGTGAACTCTTTATATATTATGTACTGTTATTATTGTTTATACATCTTACACTGCCCATGCTGTCACCTATTGTCCTGGTATTAGTCCCCCTCAAAGGGTGTTATTCTGTCACCACTGCTATTTGTCTCCCTCTCTCACTCCCACTTCCTCTCCCTTCCCTCCTGGAATCGTTACTCCCATTACTGTTTCTAAGGGTTTTTGTCTATCCTGAATTCTGCATATTGAATGCTCGTCTGTACTGGTGTGTGTACACCAGTCTAACAGGATCTGCGAGGGAGGACTGAGATCATAATAGTGCAGGGAGGAAGGATTAAAGAACTAGGAGTGGCGTGAGTTTCCCCGTGCCCATTGGATGTATTTTCTCTTCTGTGTAGCACCTTTGCTCAGGAATGTCCTATTATCCCCAGATGGGCTCTGGATTTCTACTTTTACCCCTCTCCTTCACCTCGATGAGGTTGTTTATTTTTGAACTTCTGATGCCAGTTCCTGTGGACACCTCATGATCATACAGGCTGGTGCACTTTTTACACATGAGCTTTGCTGATTCTCTGCTAGATGGCTGATTGTTTGACTTCAACCTTTTAAGATCCCAGACGCTTTATCTTTTAATAGCCAAGCACCATCTGCTTTCTTCATCACCTTTGATCATACACCCAGTTTGTCTTCAGCAATTGTGTTGGGGAAGTGGGCAGGTGATACTGTTGTTTTGTAAAAAAATGTAAATACATAGCTGGCGGGGGGTGGGGTGGGTGGACATTCTGGTTTGGTGGGGGGCACCCCTTGTATTTTCTATTTATCTAACAGAATGATCTAAGTCTAACTAAATGAATTAACTCACATGAATTAGCTGACATACAGTAAGTTAACTAACATATCCTAATACAGCTAAAAGATATACTCACACAGCTAATAAGCTTTCTCGTCAGTACCTACAATATTAATCAGAAGCACATAGTCATTTTAATAAATAACATACCTCCTTTTTAATGATAATTTCTTCTCTCTTCTCCATGTTTTCTTGTTCAAGCTTCATTAGTTCCCTCTGTATCTTCTGACGCTTCATTTCCAAGGACAATTCATGAACATAGTCATAATTAATATCTCCGTTGTCGGAATCTTTAAAATAAAAATGCCACCACCTGTCACAAACTACTACAATTATTGATAACCCCAAATAAATAAATCTACTCAACTAATGTTTAAAACAATTTTAAAAAATCATTTTCTTGGGGGCTCGTGCAGCTCTTATCCATACATACATCTGTTGTGTCAAGCACATCTATACATTTGCTGCCATCATCATTTTCAAAACATTTTATTTCTACTTGAGCCCTTGTTATTGGCTCATTTTCCCCCCTCCCTTCCACATCTTCCCTCCCTCATGAACCCTTGATAATTTATAAATTATTCTTATTTTCTCACTTCTTACACTGACCAATGTACCCCTGGAAGGGGGTTATATGCAGCTCATTGTGATTGGTTCCCCCTTTCTCTTCTCACATTCCTCTTACGCTCCTGGTATCAATACTCTCAATATTGGTCCTGAGGGGTTTATCTGTCCTGAACTCCCTGTGTTTCCAGCTCTTATCTGTACCAGTGTATATGCTCAGGTCTAGTCAGATTTGTAAGGAAGAATTGGGGTCATGACGGGGGAGATGACATTAAAGAACTAGAGGAAAGTTGTATGTTTCATCAGTGCTATACTCCACCCTGACCGGCTCGTTTCTTCCTTGTGACCCTTCTGTACGGCGATGCCCAATTGTCTACAGATGGACTTTGGGTCTCTACTTCGCATTCTCCCTCATTCACATTGATATGATTTTTGGTTCTGGGTCTTTGATCCCTGATACATGATCCCATCGACACATCATGATCACACAGGATGATGTGCTTCTTCCATGTGAACTTTGTTGCTTCTCAGTTAGATGGCTGCTTGTTTATCTTCAAGCCTTTAAGACCCCTTTTGATCGCTGGGCACCATCAGCTTTCTTTAACACATTTACTTATGTACCAATTATGTTTTCAGTGATTGTGTTGGGAAGGTGAACATCACGGAAAGCCAGGTTATTAAAACAAAGTATTCTTGCATTAAGAGAGTACTTGAATAGAGGCCCAATGTCCGTCTGCTACCTCAATACTTAACATATAACTATATGTACATAGATCTATTTTCCTATTCTTATATATATACATACATTTACATATGCACATGCCTGCGTTTAGACTCTATAAATGCCCTTTGCTTCTTATTCTATTTCCTTTTACTTTCCTCTTGTCCCACTATTATGTTCGACCTGCATTTGGGTTTCAGTAATGACTTTTGGTTACATTGCCCTTGATCAAGCCCTACCAGTCCTCCTACACCCTCCTCGCCATCGATTTTAGATCATTTGTTGCTCCCCTACCCCTGGGTTTGTTGGCCTCCCTTCCTTTCCCCTGCTTCCCCCTCTCCCATGTCCCCGCCGGAACCATCCGTCCCGTTGTTTTCTCCTGATTGCTTATCCCACCTATCTTATCTAGATAGAGCTGCAGACAATAATAAGCACAAAAACAAGACAGAGCATAACCAAACAGGAAAAAACACAAACGCAAACCAAAACAATGACAAAAAGAGCCTATAATTAGTTCCAGGTCTATTTGTTGATCTTTGGAAGCGTTTTCCAGTCCTGTCTGATGGGGTGCCACGCCATGGCCCCAAAGTCTGGTTTTGGTATCCCCTGGGGACTACATTGCTTTGCTCCCCTAGCTGCTCTGTTGCACACCGTAGCGTTACGCTCAGTGAGGTTAAAATAACTTTTAATGTGGGGTTCTTGCACTAGAATAACAACAAACTTTTAAAAGATAAGAGAAATATATATATTTTTTCTTAATATTTAATGATTTTCTTAATTTTAAGATTTCGTGCTGACAAAAACAGAGGTCAGGAGCACATTTTCCTTTTCTGTTGGCAGCAATATAAGCTGCACACATCTATCCTGGAAGGTCATTTGGAATAAGGGTAAACGCCTTGACAATACTCATACCCAAATTTACTGCTAGAAACTTACGCTATGAAAACCGAAATACAATAGGGGCTTCAAAAACGTTTATGGAAAAATGGAATTGAAAGATAATGGAATTTCCCACCAACTTTTTGAAGCCCCTTTTATGAGGTTTTAAAGGCTTGTCTTAAGCAGCAATGCAAATGAGGTGTCAGTTATATCCACACCAGTTAGTGTGAACTGTAAATTATAAAATCCAAGCTCAGAGGAGGGAACTGTATTAGAGCTTAAATTCCAAGCCCCTGGTATAGAGGATATAAATGACAGTGAAAGCCCAAAATCCATTTGAAGAATCAGCACATGAATTAAGCATTCAATTGATCTGGAATGTGAATAGTCTTGCACTGCAGATAAGATAAAATTCATCTGTATTCTGTTTTGATGAATATTTAATTTGTTCTAGTTTCTATTATCTACTGCTTTTTCTTAGATTAGGGTTTTTCTAAGTCTTATTGTGCAGCTGTTGTTTTTTGGTGCGATTTTCTTTACATGAAGTCCAAAACCAAAATAAACAACAACAATCAAACTCTTGGCCATCTTGTCGATTCCCAGTCATGGTGACCCTGTGAACAGAGGAGAGCTGCCCCTGTGGGTTTTTGAGGCAGTAACTGTTTCTAGAAGTAGAAAGCCTACGCTTTCTCTCGTGGAGCAACTGGTGGTTGTGAACTGCTGACCTTGCAATGAGCAGCCAATCCATAACCACTATGCCAGGTAACTCTGTAGAGGCAGTAACTAAGGTATGGCAGGAGAGATTGGATAGTCGTGGGGAGCTAATAATAATGCGGACACGAATAAAGAAAATGTCCTAAAATGTGATGATTCCACAAATCTTTTTAAGCCAATGGTTTAAATATATTTTTAAATCATTTTATTAGGGGCTCATACAACTCATCACAATCCATACACACATCAATTGTGTAAAGCGCATTTGTACATTCATTGCCCTCATCATTCTCAAAACATTTCCTCTCCACTTAAGCCCCGACATCTGCTCCTCATTTTTCCCCTCCCTCCCCGCTCCCCCTTCCCTCATGAGCCCTTGATAATTTATAAATTATTTTAACCATTAAATTGTACAGTACATGAATTATGTGTTAATAAAGTTTTTTTTTAAATGCTATTATTATAAAAATCCCTAGATGGGGAGGATATGTCGAGACAATGGCTTGCATTTTACTATTTTAACAGACTCTTCTATGATTTTTATAACAATACATTTTTAGTGGAGGGATGGGTCACATGTCACACTGTAAGCAAGCAAATGGAGTTATTTAGGTGGAGAATTTTCTGGGAAATTTAGTTATAAAGGGAATAGGGAAGGGTAGTAGCTGAGAATATGGGGACAAGAGAAAAATGTGCCCAGGTAGATAATAAAGACCATGGATAACAAACGGACAAGCTTGCTGAGAAGATGGAATGTGACCAGATCGATTCTATTAGTTGCTGTCCAGTTTACCGCTTCACTGGGTTCTACGGACGTCACCCTTTCAAAAGCATGTTGCAAGCCTGTCTTTGGCGGCATCTCTGGGTGATTTGAACCACCAGCCTTTTGGCTAGTAGTCCAGAGTTTAACCTTGCACCACCCACCAAGGACTATGAAGTAAACAGCAAGAAGAAATGAATGCCTAGATTTAAGGAGAGCTTAAAATAACTACAATGGCGGGAGAACTGATAAGCTTTTCTGAATTGTTAAAATTTTCGACAATGAAAATACCCTATTATAATGGGAATGGGGAAATTTTTATTTTCAAAGACAGTAAGTATTCACTCCAGAATGGAGTGAATGTATACACTTCAAAATGGACTAATCATTTTAGTGGTGAGCCACTAATGGCAGAGCCTGGGGAATAATAAGGATAATAAAATTGACAGAGAGGAGGGTATTGTGTTCCTGGTCAGGCTAGAGCAACCGAGAAGCATCTGAGAGGAATTACTAAGAGGTGAACAACCGGTAAGACAATAGTGGGGCAGGAGGAAGGAAAAAGATAAAACATGATGAAAACAACAAATTTATATACATAGGTATAAATATATATATTTATGCAAATACATAAATCAGGCATATTTGTGTATACATGTACATATATGTAAATTCAATAGAGAAGCAGATGGACTTTGGGACTCTACCAAAATCTCACCTAAGTACAAGAACGGTTTGTTCCAATACTGTGATGCTGGTCTCGACACAACTGGTGAACACAACATGAGTGCATAAGCAAATGTGGCGAAGAAAGCTGGTGGTGCCTGGCAATTAAAAAATATAGCATCTGGAGTCTGAAAGTCTTGTAGTCAAACAACCGGCCATTGAGCAGGGAAGCCCACATGGAAGTGACACCCAGCCTGTGTGTCAGACATTCAAAAGCAATCAAGTGTTAGTGAAGGAAGGTGGGCAAAGCGGAGACCAAAACCCCACCTGCAAGACAACTGCACAGGCCCTCACAGAGGGCTGCGTAGGGAGAGGATGAGGAGTTCAGGGAACAGTAGAGCGCTAATGAAACTCCTAGCTATTCTCTGTTTTTTTATAGAATTATAGGGGATATATACACACACATACATATATAAAAGTCATATATAACAATAACAAGAGTTCCTAGGGGGGAAGGTGAGAGAGGGAGAGAGGGGATTAAGGGGAACTGATATCAAAGATTTCAAGAAGATGTTCTGAAACTGATAGTAGTAGCAACTACACAATTGTGCTTGAACTACTGAAATTATGGAATGTTATGACAACTGTAAAAGCTCCTGATAAAATGAGGAATTAAAAAAAGAACTAATCATTAAAAGGAAGAGAAAGACTATCAGGTGTTAAAAAGGCAATCTGTCAGCTTTTAAAAATTTCTATCTGTAATGGACCATCACAACTGCCCTTATTATTATGTTATAGAAGAGAAATTAGGCTAACTAGTGATTCTATTCAGCTTTTTAAGAGACTATCCAAAGGTGAAACGGATTTCCTCCAAAGACGTGACATTCTAATTGATAAAGAGGCACTTACGGTACTTTCTTCCAAGATCATCCTTACTAGTCAATAGCTTAGTTTTGCAAGCTCTCCGATCTGCAGCCAATCCTTAACTCGGGCACTCTAAGTCAAGCGCAGTATGTAAGCAGGCGAGCATAGCAACACGCTAATACAACTGTGTTTGTAGTAGCAAATGGCTGGCCCACAGTGCAACTAGCTTACACTGTTGAAGTCTCTTAAATTCTTAAACTCTTTGTTTTAGTTGTGTCATCTGTAAACAGTTTCCCTTCGTGGTATAAACAATTAACTAACGTAACGTGCTTGGCAACTAATCAAAAAATGGACATTCAAGTCACCTCAGCAGTGGAAGAAATACCTGGTGATTTACTCGCAAGAAAAATCAGCCAATGAAAACTCTACGAAGCACAGATCTTTTGACACATAAAGCGTAATACACCAAACTCACTGCCATTTCGTCAGTCCTGACTCCTAACGACTCCGTGCGACAGGGCAGCGCTAACTGCCCCGAGGGCTTTCGAAGCTGGACATCTTTATGGGAACAGAAAACCTCCCTCTTCCCCAGGAACAGCTGGTGGGTTCACACTCATGACCCTGTGGTTAACAGTCCAGATAACCTACAATGCCACAGGACTCGGTGGTAATTGGCAATAATATTAAAAGCTACTAAATTACTGAGATAATTATATAAATTGTATTAGAAAACCAAGCATCCTCTTAGTGGTATATTAATAATAAGCTTATTTGTTAATACAATAGCTCAAAGATTTTATTAATTTTTCATGAATAATTAATTTGAGTCTCAATTACCATCTGATTTCAATTTCTTGGAAATAATTTTCACAGGTTCTTAAGATATAAAATCCCATTTCAATACCAATAAAACCACAAGCAAATATTTAGATTCAATTCTTCAAAATCCATATTCAAGAATTCCAAAAGGTTCCCAACAGAATAAAATCCCAAAGAGCCGCAGCACTTTAGAACAGTCTTTAAAACACCCCCCAAACGTGAGAAGTTGAAAACAGTGTACACTGTTTCCTCTCCCACCGTACGGTACCGCCTTGTAACCTCGTAAACAAGAACTACACCAACACGATGGCTCTGAAACAACTGCACGGCGCTTTGAAGCCCACAAAAGGACTATGCAGTTAGAGCTCAGTAGTCAACCATATAAAGCCGCTCTACACTCACCGTCTCTGTTTGTCTCCCATTCTACACTCTCTTCTTCGCTCTCTGGAGTTCGCTCCTTGGTGACTTTTATGTCTCCCTTCTCCCTGTGCCTCCCTCTCGAAGACTCTTTCTGAAAGGTATTCAGATGATGCCATTTTAAAAATCGACGAGGCAGTTACTATAATATAGGGCATTTTAAATGTCATTCATTACCATCTCAATAGTTTAAAAAGGGGATAAAATAAGTGACAATATGTGTATGTAACTACATTAAAATGTATCTAAGAAAAAGGTCAAATCAGTCACAATAGACTGACTCTCAAGAATAATTGTTGATCTAAGACTTCTCCCAGCTTAAAATCATAGCATTTTCTTACAAACCTAAGGATAAATTCGAACTCATTTAAGAATTTTATAAACGCTGTAAGAAGAGATGTCCCTTATCCTGATGGAACCCAATGGCTGAGGCCGGGCTTAATGAGCAGGGAGGACTTTAACAGGAACAAACGATCGAGGACCACTGAGTCTGCGTCTCCAGGTCGAACGGAACTCCATCAGATGGTAGGACAATTTGAAAGACACCGTGAAGAAGATGAGAAGGCGGGCCACACAACATAAAACTGTGTTTGAAATGCGTATCTAGAATACGGAAGTACTCCCTTAAGGTAAATTATGAGCAAAACATTTGAGAAGATATGATCTAGCAATTCTATTCCTAGATGTATAAAGAAATGAAAATACACGTCCACAGAAAAGCTTGTACATGACTGGTCAGCAGCATGTGATATGTACGTCTACATAAAAAATCATGTTTATCAACTGATGAAAACACAAATAAAATGTAATGTTACCATGAAACAGAATATTACCAGTCAGTAAAGAAGGCAATAAAAATACTGACACGTGATCATCTTTCACGAACTTTGAAAACACTAAGCGAAGTAAAAGAACTTAGTCATAAAAGGCCATAAACTGTATGAGACTCTTTCTATGAAATGTCCAGAATACACAAATTCAGAGACAAAAAGTTACTTGTGCTTCCCTTTTGATTCAGTCGTCAGGAAATTCAGCTGCAGCTTGTGTCACACATTTCATCAGGTTTGCTATCTCGGTTTTTGTCGCCACTGTGCCTTACAGTCACTGCATCAGTCTACTGAGTGTGCAACTATACGTTTTCTCAAATATTCCTTAGAAACAGGCAGAATATAATGCCAAGCTAAATTTTTTTAAACTTAGAATACATTTAAACTAATCTCTACTACACCCTATCATTTGATCTCAGTTGTGATCCATTTAAATTTGTTCTAGTTTTAAATATTTCCTTTTGACTGAAGTTTTATCTGTTTTACTCTGCTATTCTTGGTAGTTTGTTATTTAATGATTTTCTGTATATGAAATTCAGAATAAGGAAATACATAGAGACAGTAACTAGATCAATGGTTCCTTGGGAGCATGGCAGGGAGGTGGGGGGAATGTAAGTTGCTAATAACAAGGAATACAAGAATGAAGAGAATGTTCTAAAACTGATTTGAAGTGATCATACAACTCTTCTTGGTGTAAATGAACTATTGGATTGTATGCTCTATGAAATTATATGCCAAACTAACTGCTGGGAAGAAAAAGCAACTCAACTCACTGCTGTCAAGTGAATTCTGACTCATAGCAACCCTGTAAGACAGAGTAGGACCTCTTTGAAGTTCCAAGGCTGTAACTCTTTACAAGAGAAGGCAAGCCTCGTTTTTCTCCTGAGGAGCAGCTGGTGGTTTTGAACTACCAATCTTGGGTTAGCAGTACAATGCATAATCTGCTACACAACCAGAGCTCCTCAAAGAATAAATTTAGGTTCTCATAATCCCCATTCAAACCAAACTCAATGCCATTCAGGTCGTTTCTGACACGTAGTGACAGAAATCCTATAAAGTATACAAATCCTATAAAATAGCTTGAATTCTATCAATCAGACCACTTTATCTTTACTACCACGAAGAACAAAACATTTAGAGAACTGTTTTTCCAAGAGTTTCCTCCATACCAAATACATTTACTATACAGAATATCATAATGCTACATTGTACATTTACTATATTCAGCAAAATAACCTTTAAAACAGAACAACAAAATAAACCTTTAAAATGTAGCCTGGATAATAAAGCACTCGTGAAATGTAACTGAGGGGATGTGTTCTTACCCGAACAGGCGAGGCCGACTCGTCAGTGTTTCGCTTCTGAGCCTCAGCATCCACATCCTGCCGCTTGTTCTTCATTCTTTCTCTAAGATCCCCTGTAGGTCTTTCTGGTGACCTGTGAACCCAAGAGGGAACCAACACAAGTTTATCTTTACACAGCATTTTAGCGAAAAGTATTGACTGACACCATCTCACAGGCTCTGCAGTTTTTGTAACTGCTCATGGCTCTAAAATGAATTTTTTAAAAACCCTTCTTTCAGCTTAAATATCAATATACAAAAAAATGAGCAAGATTTATACGTTTTCTACTCATCTCAACCAAAATGTACATATTTAAAATCTCATGAGGAAGCAAGTATTAGTGATAGGAAGAAAAAGTTATATGCAAGTTGAGAAAAAGCTGTTTATAATGAACAATTTGACATATTTTCCGATTCACCTATATGAATAAAAAAATGTAGGAACATACATAAAGCTTTAATCTAAGTAATCCAACAGCATAATAAGCTATAAAACTAGGTGGTTGGACAACATCTAACTGAGAAATATTTCATATAGCTTATCTATCCAAGCAAATTCAGGAGTTTTTGTACTAATCATAATTTATTTCAGAATAAGGGTCATTTAAGGATTCGAAGCAAATTTTAGAACAATTATATCCTTAAATTGAAAGAAAAATACACGTTTATTACTCTTAAGTGGTAGGGTTTTATAATTTATACTGGAAATTATATCGCACATGAATGTTCAAGTGTTGTATCCTTATTAGACAGGGCACAAGGGGAGCAGTGGTCCAGGGCTTGGCTGAGTGGCAGTCAGCCATCTGAAACCACCATCTGCTCCACAGGAGAAAGATACAGCAGTTGGCTCCTGTAAAGATATATCCCTGGCAGCTCTATGGGGCAGTTCTCTGTTCTATATGGTTATTATTAATAACAATGTAAGACTTTACAACTTATGCTGGGAATTACGGAGAAGCATATTGGCTGTTCAAACAGTTTTAGTAAGTGGCAAACACAAAAGAGATGGAAAGTAAAATCCCTTTAAAGAATACTCCTAGGGGGGGAAATCAGTCTTCAATTTTACATAGCACGGCAAGAGGCCCCGATAGCTACAGTAATACTGAAAAGAACACACTAAAAGGCACCGGTGGAGACTGTAGCTCATGGCAACCATATGGGACAGACTAAGACGGCTGCTCCAAGGGAGCAAGCAAGATGAGGCTTTCTGGTTCGCTAAGGAATTCCATCCAGTCTTGGAAACCCACAAGGTCATTTTAAAATTTTCACTCCATCGTATAGGGTCATTATGGATTATAATTGACTCAAGAGCAATGAGATAGAATGAATGTGTTGTGTTGGTCACTGCCTTCATGAACAGCCACCTCCTTTGCTAAAGAACCAAAGTAAGCCAAGCTATCACAAGCAAACATTTACATTAAAGATCCTATAGAAGATTCCTGATCAAAAGTGGAAAAAACGAAGACCATAATTTTAAATTCTTATGGACTCCAAACTCCTGGAGCCTTGAAGCTGGATGAGCCCCTGAAACTACTGCCCTGAGATCATCTTTAAATCACAAACTAAGCATAGCACTTACAATCGTCCTAAACCCAAACAACAGCTTAGCTGCACTACTGAGAACGGTCGACACCAGTACGCCCTGCAAAGCACGATATATGTCTTAAACCCTAATTTAACAACAAACTAGATAAGAACACTTGTTAAAAAGAACAGTCTCTATGGAATCACAGCGACCCGAGCAACCTGAAGGCTTGAACGAAATAACCAAACTCGTGGCCATCTCGTCGGGCAGGAGTTACAACGGGAGGAAGTGCTCGGAAAGGAGGAGGGCAGAGTGTGCCTAGTTCTTTCAAGGACAAGGGAAGTTAAAGAATTTTATGTTCCTGTTGACCATCAAAATATATCTAATCGGGATCCATACCTCACTCTACATACAACAACAAACTCGAGATGGATTAAAGACCTGAATGTATATCCGAGAACTATAAAGATTATCAATGAAAAAGTAGGGACAAATATGGGGGACCTAGTATGTGACACATACACAATATCAAACATAAAAAATTTACATAGATAAAATACACAGTGGATCGATAGAATCCCCTAAAAATAAGAAACCTGTGTGCATCATAAGATTTCACCAAAAGAACAAAAAGAAAACCCCTAGACAGAAAAAGACGAATAACCCAATTAAAAAATGAGCAGAGGGTATGAATAGACGCTTCATCAAGTAAGACATCCAAGCAGCCAACCAACATCAGGAAAAGCTGGCAATCACGAGGCATCCAAGAAAAGCTTATGAGATATCATCTTACCCAAGAATGGAGAGCAAATTAAAAAAAGCAGGAAGTAACCAGTGCTGGAGAGGGTGCAGAGACGGGGACCCTCACACACTGCTGGTAGGGCTGTAAATCAGCATCATCACTGTGGAAAGCAATGTGGCACTTCCTCAAAGCACTGGGACTAGAAGGGTACCATAGCACCCAGCAATAGCACTACTTGGTATAAAGCAGTGCTACAGAAATAAATGCCGTAGCAGGAACAGCTATGAGTACCACCATGTTCATCAACCTGGTGGCAGATGATGATGCCTTGGTTGCCATATACAGGGTGGGCAGTTCAACACTTAACAGCTGCTCTGAGGAAAGAAGATGAGGGTTTTTACTCATCTTACATTTTGGACACGTTGTCAGGAGACCAGTCCCTGGAGAAGGATGTCAATTTTGGTAAAGTGGAGGGGCCGTGAGCAATAGGGAGGCCCTCAGTGAGATGGACTGACACCGGGACTGCAGCGAGGTGCTCAGGCAGAGGGCGGCGGAGGACAGTGCAGTGTCTGGTTCTGCTGTGGGTCAGAACCAACTCGACAGCATCGAACCACAACAGAGTCACAGTCTCAGAAACTCACAAAGGGCGCTCCACCCTGCCCGGTCGGGTTCCACTGAGTCAATACCGACTTGACGTCAGTGAGTTTTTAATGTTCCCAGCAGCATTAGACACAATAGCAAGATGGAAACAAACTGAACGCCCACCAGTGGAAGAATGGCAAACAGACTGATACACACACTCTCGATGGAATACTATGCAGTTTAAGAATACTGACGAAACTCACATAAATGCATTTAGAGGATATCATGCTGATGGCAGTAAAAAAAAAAAGACAAATATTTTGAGACCACTGTTTATATATATATGTTTTAATCACGAAAAGGTTCTCATACCAAAAGCAGCAGGCTTGATTGGTTACTGGGGGTGGGAGGTAAAGGACGGAAAGGGAAGCAACAGTTTACAGAAAGGGGAAGATAGGATACTACATGGGGGAGAAGGGGAAAGGAGGACAGGGGCATGCAGACTAAGTTGTTTAAAATGGTGAATGCAAAGACAGTGATCTGATAGGTAAACCTGAGATGTCCTGAGACTACTTTCGTAGACGGTGTGACTCGACATACCATCCTTCTTTTACGTTGGGGATATGGTCAGCTATGAGACAAAACCCACACCGCTATCAAAGCCATTCCCCTGTGTACAAGAGCCATCTGGGAAACAAACAAACAAAAGACCCAGTACGATCGGAAGAGCGTGTCCAAGACCTCTCTGTCTGATGTGGGGGAGGCCACCGAGACCATAGGCACCAGAGACTGTGACAGAGAAGCTAAGGCTTCTCCTCACCTGGCCTGAGACGATGGGACTAGGAGACAGAGTGACAGGCCAGCTGACTTTCTGGCCCCATAGTGGCAGAAGCGAAGGAACTGCGTGGCTGGGGTCTGCAGAAAGATTTGCCCACTGGTTGAAGAGAGGTTGCTGGGAATCAATGCCTGGGTCCTACCCCTCAGTAGAGGCTGAGGACCAGAGACAGATTTGGTTGCTGGCTGAGGGGGGGTGTTGCTGTATCCTTCCATTTACCGATCCTGGATTGTGGTAATTTACTCGCTTCCTTAATAAGCCCCTTTAATTATGAGTACTATCTGTGCATTCTGTGTGCCCATGGCAACAAATCATCAAGCACAGATGCTGGTTTCAGATTACCATGGATGGGGCATCTTTGGCCTCCTGGCAAATAGAGGAGCCAGAGGAGTTTGGGTATGTATGCTCCTACACTATTAATGACAAAACTTAAAATATTTTTTTTTAATTGTGCATGTATGCATGAAGAAATCACATGTTCACATATACTTCAAGAGATAGCTGATTATTAAGCCAATTCCTTTAATTTAGTCACTCATAAAAAGTACATGATTAAGTAAATAAATCATGAGTCAATTCACTATAAAGAAACATATTCCTATTTGCATGTATATTTTATAGGTCTATATATATATATTAAATGTCTTGGTAATTAATAAGCACCAGTGCTCATTACAATGCACATCTACATTTTATGCACCTTAGTTTCCTTCACATAATGAAAGTTCGTAACACATATACTGGTGACAAACTTTCCCAATTCCTCTACAGCAGAAATCCAGACCCAAACAGAATCCATCTCACATGAATTCTGGAACTCTGAGCATCTATGGATGGATAAAGAACTACAATACACATCGTTTGGGAAGGCAGACAGGATGCAAACAGTGAATGAAGGCAGAGGACTGGGGCCCAGGGTGCAGCAGCCATTCTGAGGCCCAGAAGGCAATATGCAAGGATTAGGAGAAGCTAACTTCATGGCGTCCCTATTAGGACAGAGACAGCAAATCCTGAATGAAACAAGGTGAACAGAAGACAGGTCAGGTCTATTAGCTGGGCGAATACTAGTGGCACGGGCTACCACAGCCCAAGAAGGGAGCCGAGGCAGGGGCACGAACAACTCACTGGAAAGAACCAGTCGCTTGAGTTGAAAGTCCAGAGTGGAAAAGTGGAAAGGAAGCCTGTGGGGTGGCAGTTGAAATTGTTGGACCCCAGGTTCTAGTCCCTATCCTGGATTGAGCCTGGGCAGGAAAGTAGGCTGCTCCTACTTAAAAATACACCAGATCCATACCCGTGAACTGGGACAGGATAAGTGCTTGGTTTCTCCACACCTTACTCTCTGCCCAGCCAGGGTGAGGTTTTCCCTCACTCACCTAGCCTTCAACCGCACAGACCACACACCGCACCATCC